TTCTTGCCCGCGCCTGCTTTTGCACTAAACCCTAAACCTAAACCTAGTAGTATAGTAAGGGATGCTCAGGTATGGTATGTATAGCTTCGGAAGCCGGAGTGAGGGCTTCCGGCTCAGAGACAGATGGCAAAGTGAAAGCCATTGAAACATCTCGACTTCTGAATTAGGGTTTAAGGTTCAGGGTTTAGGGGTTTTGGGTTTAGGGTTCAGGGTTTAGGGGTTTAGAGTTTAGGGTTTAGGTAGTTACCCGTCTGATCCTTAATGTACCCATGGCATAATGTACACCCCACCCAAGAAACTCTTTTCTGACAGTTACTAAGGCTTCTATAATAACACAGATTTACGGATTAGGGTTTAGCGTTTAGAATTCCGAATTAAATCGGGCTTGGGATGTAAGATATAAGTGTCGGGTGCACGGGTTTTAGGTAAGACACTTACATATATATATATATATTATTTGTTTATTTATTTATTTATATGTATATCATTGCTGTGCGTCGACCCGTGACCAGTATCCCCCCTCCGTAAAAGGATTGCACGCGGGATCCTACGATGGTTGAGGAAAGTTGTTTCGGAATCAGGGATCGACATCTAATTAGTTTCTGGTTTCGGGCCGGAGTTGGAGAATGGTTGCGGAAAGGGCTGCAGCTTCAGGGGGAGGTCTTGGATCCAAGACGTCGAACCTGTTGTTGCAGGAGGGTGTTAGGCGCTAACAGCCGGCAAAGGAGGTATCGGGTTTTGCGCATGTTGAAGGGTTTTGGGTGGCCTTGGGCCTTACCCCTAATCCCAAAACCCTATTCTATGCCCTTCACCCCAACTCTAATCTCTAGCCCAAATCCCTAAACCTTACACTTGGCGCTGAACCCTATGGGATTTCGGGCGCCCATCTGGGTTTCATGCCTGGTCGGGCTTGCTGCAGATGTCTCAAGGATGTTTCTGTTAGATCAGTGCAGACCTCTGCTTCTTCAGATGTTTCTTACAAGTAAAGAGAACCCTAAAGCCTAAACCATTAGGGTTTAGGTTGAGGCTTCAGTGTAGCCCTAAACATTAAGCACCAAACCTTCAACAACTTTAAACCCCAAAGCCCTAAACCCTAAACCCTAAACCCCAACAAAGGATTACTTGGTTTTGGTAGGGCAGGGCTCTTCATTTCATCCTTGCACCCGCTCAGGGTTTAGGGGTTTAGGGTTTAAGGGTTTAGGGCTTTGGGAAATGTACAGGGGCTGTAATACTTAGAATAGGGCGTTGGGGTGTAGTATAGTCTAATGTTATAGTAGATTGTTATATGTTGAGGGCCATAAGGGGTATTAACCACCCTGTGCGTTTCGTATGAGCAAAATCTTAGGGTTTAAGGTTTAGAACTGATGGTTTTAAGTCAATGGTATCCTTCATCTTTGAAGCTGATTGCCGAGATGTCCAGCCTTGAACCGCTGAAGCCAAAGCAGGAAACCGCCAACAAGGTGGAGATCGTCAAAGAAGAGCCGGAGGAGGCTGCCGTCTAAAGATGATGAGTTTAGACAGTGTAGGGCTTAAAGTTCAGAGCTTCGGTTGATGAAATAAATCCTGCACTACCCATAAGGAATACACTGTAGTTCCGATAGTTTAGGGTCCTTAAGGTATGCAGGATTTATGTCATCAGCAGTTAGGATTGGTGCTTCAATGCCTTAACCCTTTAACTCTAAATCCGGAAGCCCAAACCTTCAACCCCCTGGCCGACCCCAAACCGAGCCCTTAAATCCCAAACCCAGTATGGGGTTTAGGGTTTAGAGTTTAGGGTTTAGGGTTTAGGGTTTAGGGTTTAGGGTTTAGGGTTTTGGTGGTGATGTGCTGGTGGCTTGTGGACTTGTAGGTGCAAGTACGAAGAATGCAGCAGAGCACCGTCGGGTCACTGTCTACAAAGGCCGGATGGTCATGGCGATAGCACGGGCAAGACGAAAGCTGTTGTTAGCTTCATTCGCTGGTATTGGTTAGGCGCCAATCAAGATATCACCAAGGCATGTATATAAACCCCTAAACCCTGAACCTTGAACGACATGTCATGGTGGGCCACTTTGCAGGAGGACCCATTCTGCGATTCAGAGATCGAGGAGCCACCGAGGGTTTGGGGCGTAGGGGGTGTAATGGAGGGTTTTGGATTTAAGGGTTTAGTGTAGTATACCCAGAGAACCTTAGCTAAAAAACATACTCTGATATTGTACGGCATGTTCCTGAATTGGCTGCGCTGTCTGGGTAGGGGCCTCAAAATTATTCTTTGGTTTTCCTAAAGCTCCTTGGAAGGGCTTGCTATTGCGCGGGCTAGGGTTAATATAGGGGCCTGAATAATTTCCGACACCGGTTTACAGGCTTTAGAGTTTTAGAATTTAGGGCTTTGGGTCCGATCCGCTGCGCCCTAAACCCCCGAAAGCATGAAAGCCCTTACTGCAGAAAGCCCAAACGCTACAACCCTAGTTAAAGTATATCAAATAAAGTATTAGAGGCCTTGACACTAAAGCCTCATACAATCCCTAAGCCCTGTAGAGGTGGATGCTGCAATGGTGGAAAAGGGCCTATAACCCAGCACATCGTTTAAGGCCACTTGTTAAAGTGATGGCTCTGCCATTACTCCCTGCAGCGAAGTTCGCAGTTCTTTTATGGCTGGGTGCGGAAGCGAGTCTCACTCTGAACGTGCACAAACAAGAACAACCAACCTACTTGCTACTGTACAGCTTTACAACTTGTAGGTTAC